CGGCTATCTCTACAAGTGGCTTGACAATATTTTGGATTCACAAGACAAAAAGGTGAGTATAATAATATTTGTTTACTCAGTTTGATGAAGATGATCTGTGATGGCCTTCGCTTTAACAAATTTTCTACTAGTTCTGCATGCAGATTTAAGTCATTGCCCGTTTTTCTGTGACAGGTGATAATGTTTTTACCTTGTTCTGTGTGTATATGGGCTTTATTATACAGTATATTTACAGTATGTGTTCATTTGTTTGTTAGCAAAATATTGTATGAACCACTGACTGCATTTTATTGAAACTGACGGTCATCATTGGATACCAAAAAGTGCAACTCAGTAAATTTTACAGCTATTGAGTAAAATTTGATGTTAGTGCAGAGTCATGTCCAATACTTATCACAAGTATGTATACAATTTTTTTTTTTTTTTTTTTTTTACAATTTCTATACAATTTGCAACATTGTTGCTTAAAATTTTGGCATTACCTGTTGGAGTTTACCCCATTTGCCTGTTGGCAAAATAATGCATGAACCACTGGACAAATTTTGTAACTATCAGAAAGCAACCATTTCATGTTCCACTACAACTATTGAACTGAAGTCGATATAAATAAAGATGGCCACCACAACTAATCAACCTAAGCTAACGTTGCACGTTTGTGGTGAGCCGTATTGTGTCACTTCCTGTTTGTCTGTTGGTAGCTCAAGTGAATTGTTTGCTCGAGTCGTCTCTGTTTTCTGGATTTATCTGTCTTTTGCACAGTTTTTCATTCTAGTTCACAAACACACTTAGTACAGTTATTTTTCTACAGTTGGATAGTGCTTAAAACACCTCTTATCTTTCAACACTTCTTGGTTTTTATTGGTGTATTTGGCTCTGCTAGCTCTCGCTATCGTTGGCTTAGCATGGCTGATGTTTCTCTCCCTGCTTCCTCTGTTTTCACTTGCTCCGTGTGTCAGATGTTTAGTTACTCCACTGCCTCTATAAGTGGTAATGATACATGTAACAAATGTAGTCTTATGGTAGCTTTGGAGGAGAGGCTGTCTGAACTGGAAGCTCAGCTCCGCGCTGTAGAAAAACCAGTAGCTAGCCAGGTCCCCTTAGACGGCGCGGAACCACAGAGGCTAGCTCCCATTAGCGGTCCTCCAGCAGACCCCGAGCAGCCGGGACCCCAGGCCGGCTGGGTGACGGTCCGGAGCAAGCGTAGTGCTTAGGCTAAGCCCCCAGTTCACCACCGACCCGTTCACATTTCTAAACGATTTTCCTCGCTCAGTGACACACCCGCTGAGAAGCAGACCCTGGTTATTGGAAGCTCCATAGTCCGAAATGTGGCTTTAGGGACTCCAGCGGCCATAGTTAAATGCATTCCGGGGGCCAGAGCGGCCGACATAGAATCTTATCTGAAACTGCTGACTAAGGCTAAGGCTAAATACAGTAAGATTGTTAGTCACGTTAGCGGTAATGACACCCGGTTACACCAATCGGGGGTCACTAAAATTAATGTTGCTTCGGTGTGTGACTTTGCTAAAACCATGTCGGACTCTGTAGTTTTCCCTGGCCCCCTCCCCAACCTGACCAGTGATGACATGTTTAGCCGTATGTCGTCGTTTAACCGCTGGGTGTCCAGGTGGTGTTCTGACAATGGCGTGGGCTACATACAAACCGGATTCCAAAAAAGTTGGGACACTAAACAAATTGTGAATAAAAACTGAATGCAATGATGTGGAGATGGCAAATGTCAATATTTTATTCGTAATATAATATAGATGACAGATCAAAAGTTTAATATGAGTAAATGTAACATTTTAAAGGAAAAATGTGTTGATTCAAAATTTCACAGTGTCAACAAATCCCAAAAAAGTTGGGACAAGTAGCAATAAGTGGCTGGAAAAAGGAAATTCAGCATATAACGAACAACTGGAAGACCAATTAACACTAATTAGGTCAATTGACAACATGATTGGGTATAAAAAGAGCTTATCAGAGTATCAGTGTCTCTCAGAAGTCAAGATGGTAAGAGGATCACCAATTCCACCATTGTTGCGCAGAAAGATAGTGCAGCAATACCAGAATGGTGTTACCCAGCGTAAAATAGCAAAGACTTTTAAGTTGTCATCATCAACCGTGCATAACATCATCAAAAGATTCAGAGAATCTGGAACAATCGCTGTGCGTAAGGGTCAAGGCCGTAAAACTCTACTGGATGCTCGTGATCTCCAGGCCCTTAAACTTCACTGCACCTCAAACAGGAATGCCACTGTCAAGGAAATAACAGAATGGGCTCAGGAATACTTCCAGAAAGCAATGTCAGTGAACACAATCCACCGTGCCATCCACCGTTGCCAGCTGAAACTCTACAGTGCAAAGAGGAAGCCATTTCTAAGCAAGCTCCACAAGCTCAGACGTTTGCACTGGGCCAGGGGTCATTTAAAATGGAGTGTTGCAAAATGGAAGCCTGTTCTGTAATAATAATAATAATAATGTCATCACAATGTCAGCACTGTATGTTTCCATACAATGGCGAAATTAGTCTCTGCATTTAACCCATCCACCACCAGGTGGTGCAGTGGGCAGCTATTGAAAGCGCCCGGGGGACATTTTGGGAATTAGACGTGCTGCCCAGAGACGCCACGTGATGTGCAGTGACTGGGAATCGAACCTGGGACTCTCGGGTCCCAAGCCGGCTGCCCTGCCTCTACACCATCTCGGCCCCAATGTAGTCAGATGAGTCACGATTTGAAGTTCTTTATGGAACGCTGTGACGCCATGTCATCCGGACCAGAGAGGACAAGGGTAGCCCAAGTTGTTATCAACGCTCCGTTCAGAAGCCTGCATCACTGATGGTATGGGGTTGCATGAGCACTTGTGGCACGAGCAGCTTGCATGTCTGGAAAGGCACCATTAATGCAGAGAACAATGTTCAGGTTCTAGAACAACATATGCTCCCATCTAGACATCATCTCTTTCAGGGAAGACCCTGCATTTTTCAACACGATAATGCCAGACCACATTCTGCAGCAATCACAACATCATGGCTACGTAGGAGAAGGATCTGGGTACTGAAATGGCCAGCCTGCAGTCCAGATCTTTCACCTATAGAGAACATTTGGTGCATCATAAAGATGATATTTTACGCTGGGTAACACCATTCTGGTATTGCTGCACAATCTTTCTGCGCAACAATGGTGGAATTGGTGATCCTCTTACTATCTTGGTTTCTGAGAGACACTGACACTCTGAGAAGCTCTTTTTATACCCAATCATGTTGTCAATTGACCTAATTAGTGTTAATTGTTCTTCCAGCTGTTCGTTATATGCTCATTTTCGTTTTCCCAGCCACTTATTGCTACTTATCCCAACTTTTTTGGGATTTGTTGACACTGTGAAATTTTGAATAAACATATTTTTCCTTCAAAATGTTAAATTTACTCAGATTAATCTTTTGATCTGTCATCTATGTTATATTACGAATAAAATATTGACATTTGCCATCTCCACATCATTGCATTCAGTTTTATTCACAATTTGTTGAGCATGCATCAGGATAATTTGTTTAGTGTCCCAACTTTTTTGGAATCCAGTTTGTAATTTAGTAGACTTATTTGGTTTTACCCAAAACGTCCGCACGTCTACTCATTCTTATCATAACTCTCTTGATTTTGTTCTGACCTATGGTATAGAGATTAAGGACTTGGTAATAGTTCCTCAAAATCCTATTCTGTCTGACCATTTTTTAAAAACCTTTGAGTTTACATTAAATGACTACACAGTCACTGAGAGTAAATTTCATCTCAGCAGGTTCTTATCAGAAAATGCTGTAACCAAATTTAAACAATTTCTTCCATCAATATTTTCCTCTGTCTTGCAGAGTAATGCATCAGAGAACAGAGACTTAGATCATCTAGTTGATCATCTTACAACTTCAATGCAAACTTCACTTGATAAAATTGCTCCACTGAAAAAGAAAGTAATGAATCAGAGGAAACTGGTTCCTTGGTTCAATTCTGAGTTACGTACTTTAAAGCAGGCATCTAGAAACCAGGAGAGAAAATGGCGCTCTACTAATGTTGAAGAATTTTATTTAACTTGGAAAGATAGTCTGCTAACATATAAAAAAGATCTCCGTAAAGTTAGAACTTTATATTACTCATCTTTAATAGAGGAGAATAAAAATAACCCTAGGTTTCTGTTTAGTACTATTGCTAGACTAATTAAAAGTCC